GATTATCACACTTCACAATGTCAAATCACCTTATTCTCAGGATCGGATGCCGGCAGCATGTGTGGCAATGTCTCTAGCCACTCCAAGTCTGCCCGTAAGAGCGTGCCAGAGAGCAATACCATCTTTCCATCCATGAGCAAGATATGGATTTCATGCCAGAAGCAGCAAGACCTATTCATTGAAGAATGCCCAGTTTGCTGCAACAATTTGAGCTCTGGTGGCACCCTAGATATATGAGATTGTTAACTCTCTACATGATACTAAACCTCCAATCACACCAGGGTTTCTGAGGGCCTGGCTTCGAGGTGCTGGACCTTGGTCTGCTGCTAGGAGATATTCAACACCATAGTTCAGGTGGATTCTTGGAGCCCTTGGAGAGTGAGACAGAAACTCTCTGACGTTTCCACAAGCAGGGCAGCAACATCGGCAATATTTGGGAAGTGAACACTTTTTGATCAAGCTTGATTCCAAGCAATGCTTCCCCTGGGTCTTAGTGCTCAACCTCTCCCCTGTTCCTATCCCTGCACTCACTCTTAAAGGGGACATGCTGTTTTAATTTTTTTTATTTTTTTTATTTTTTTATTTTTGGCTTAAGTCCTTGAAGTCTTTTTTTTTCCCCTCAACAACTTTGGTCTTCCCCCTCCTTGTCCCCCCCCTTCAACAGAATTTTTTCCCAGTTTTTTTCTGGGGGGGTGTTCAGTATTTTTGTTTCAACCATCTGGCAACCCTAAGGCAAACCCATAGCAATTCCACAGTCAGTAAGTCCAGGCCCTTGTTCAGGCAGCAAAACATTTGCAGTTTAATAGTCAGCAAGCCCAGTCCTTGATTCAGGGTGGGGCAGCAAAACAAACACAGTTCAACACTTGGTAAGGCCCGGGCCCTGGTTCAGAGCAGGGAAGTAAACAAACAAACCCAGATCCACACACAACAGACCACTAGCAAGAGAGGGGGCGGAGACTGCCACCCTGTATGTAGGGTAGCAGGGGGGGATGTGGATCCTCCCTACTCCACCATGTCCCAGCCCAGGGCCCTAGCAGTGGCAGCCCTGGTTGCCCCCTGGGTCAACAGGGATCAGGCCTGCAACATGCTGGCACACTACAGGATGGTGAGGTCAGCTTGACTGTTGTTGGCTTCCCCTGGGCCACTGCCTAACTCCCCCCAGCATCTGCCTGGCTCCACCAGGACTGCAGGTTCTGGGGGTCATCATCGTCTGAACCCTCTGTGAGGCTGAAAAGGATCTCCTCCTTGGTGTGGGGGCCTGGCGGTCCACACCGGTCCTCAGCCTCAGCACGGTCCTCTGGGACCTCCTGGCTCCAGAGCTCAGGGCACACCTCTGCTTCCTTCAGCAGCTGGGGCCTCCCTAAGCCCCGGAGCTGGGCTTTTATCCTACCAGCCCCGCCCTTTGGCTTCTGGGGAGCTAAAAGGGCAGGACCAGGCTCAGTCCACCCCAGTTCAGAGAGGGGTTCTTCCCCTTCTCGGTCAATGAGTGGCCACCGCTGCTCATTACGTGACCTTTCAACAGTAAGACCTATTTGCTGTGGATGACTATGTCTGTATATCTGCAGCTGCATCCTCCTCAGCAAAACATGCACTAAGACTTTTCCAGGGACCAGTAACAATGACATCAGCCATCAACTGCCACTTCGAGTGTGAGATACTATGCTCTCCTACAAGGACACTACGATGCCAGCTTTCCATTCTGCTGTTGCTTTGTCAGATGTCCACGCTCTTAAGATGCATGCCAGTGCTCACTGGTCCCAAGGCTTCTTTAAGCAGCTCAGATGAAATACCATCAGGCCTTTTGAAAACCTTTCATACAACAAGTAATGGAGGATCAGTGTTCTTCCCTGGGTCTTCAGCAGTGCTGTTTTACAGGGCATATAGTTCTACTAAACACAAGATTCAAAAGTGAAAAAGAGACAAACCCTTCTTGGAAACCACAAGTGAGTTCACCACAAGAGAAGCAGTGAACTCTCTATCCGATTTAGCCTCTCCAAGCAAGAATTATAAGTGTAAAAATACATGATTTGATAAGAGAAAAAAAGCCATATCCCTTCCTCCAACTGAAGTGAGGCATTGCAGACAATAGTATTCTAGCCTCTAGCAAGGTTAGTAGAATTCTCTCAAGCTCCTAATGCTGGTTGGGTATTCAGGAAAAAAAAAAAAAGAAGGAAAGTGTTGGGCTTGCTGTAACCAAGATCTCTTTCTAATGTTAAATAGTTATCTGCCAGTTGAATGCACAATAATAATTTCTCTATAGGTCAGGTACTAAACACAGAGCAAATCAATGTAAATAATTATCCTGGATCTCATGGAAATAAAGGAAAATTATTAATGATATTGAGAACGTGGTCCAAATCCACAGTTATAATATATAAGATTCAATATACTGTAAGTAATATTAACCTTATGTTCAAAGGCGTAGGCCAATATCTAAAGACTTTGGGAGGGGCAGAAATTTTCCTATGGGCAGGTTAGTGTTTTGCATCATGATACATGAAGCCCTTTCACCTTCTGAAGCCTTTGGTACTGCTTACTGTTGCAGAAAGGATGCTGAACAAGGAGGATCATTGGTCTGGTTCAATATGGCAATTCTTATGTTCCTATACAAACAGTGAAGCCGACAGCCTCCACGAGCCCCTGGCACTGTGGTGGGGGCTGGCTCTGCACTCCTAGAAAAGGCAGGGCTGAGGGCAATTGACTCTTAGCGCTGCCTGGAGTGTGGTGTGGTCTCCCTTCCAGCCCTTAGCACTGCTTTTGGCGCTCTGGCTGCCGCCACTGCAACTTCAGCAGCAGCTGTCGGCTGGCTATATCGAAATGAAGTATTCTTGAAGGCCAATACAAAGTTATTCACGGGATCAGGAGCCTCCCGGAACCAGGTAAGCTGTTACAAGCAGGAACAGTCACAGGCCTTTTGCATCACTAACCAACACTAACCTTCAACTCTTCCCGTTGGCAATAAAGAAGCAGGATGAAGGTCAATTTCAGCAGATAAGTTGAAGCCACTGAGGGCCTACAAGCAAGAACTACCATCACCTGCTGCATTTCACCACCTTAGACATATGACATTTGGACTTTTCTTGGCCAACCACTCTCAATAAGGAGCTCATTGCAAGATTATCTCAAAACAGGGTGGCTTGCCTTTTAGGAGCGGGAGGGCCTGGGGTGAGCCAACCCTCATTACTGAACAAGCCACACTCAAGAGAGATCAGGTGATTTCTCTGTACTGAAAGAGCAGGAAGTTGTGAGAGGAGACGTTCAAGAATCCGCGGAGAGAGTGGGAAAGGCTCCCGCAGGGAAGATCCTGACACCAGGTGAGTCTGGAAGAGACCAGACAGCTGAGATTCAGTCCTGCAATACCTGGGAATGGCAGCTGAAAGAAAGGAAAGCATCCAGATGCCTGGGGAATGAAGGGCCAGGCGGGCCTCTGTTTAAAATTGGGGTGTTGGCCTCCTGGGGAAGAGACACCACTGAGATCTCATTATGACTGACTTTCTGGCCAGCTTGAGTGGAACTGGTGAAGGGGGAATCAAAGGGGCCCAGGAACAGTGGCAGTGGAACAATTTTTAGGGCGGGGGTACTGAATTACACCCCTATCTGTTCATGTCCCTCTGACAGCTGCCAAGTCTCCTAGACATGACTGACTGGGAGCCATTTGCAGCAATGGTGTAAGGTCTGTATGGCCCAGGAGAGTTGGCAAACTTAGCTCCTCATCACCTCCAGGCTGGGGGCAACTGCTGAGCCCTTGGCTGATGGCAGGACCCCAGATGGCCATGGAGGCCACAGGGGCTTTGGGACTAGCAGGGCTCGCAGCCTGTGGAGCCTGCAGAGGTAGCACCAATGGGTGATGGGACCCCAAGGGCCAGTGGAACCCACGAGGCCAGGAGCAAAGCCAATGGGCCAGGAAGATGCTATAGGCCCACCAGGATCCTATGGGGGCTGCCTGGAGACTGAGATCCAGGACTGGCAATGCTGGCAGCGGGTTCGCAGCAGGGTTGGCCCCCAGATGCACGGAAGCTGAGTGCAAAAACACAGGGTGCTGCAGCTCTCAGCCCCTCTACTTCCTGTGCCTGTGCCTATGCCCACGAGAACAACAATAAAAAGTACCAAAAGGCAGGCCTTTGGGTTCCAATAGTCAAGATTGGAAGGTTTTGGAGCCTAGAGGGCCTGGAGGCTGTCTGCAAGTTTAAATAAACTAAGTCACATCTAGAAATGGTATTTTTGTTTGAAATACTGTGAACTGTACTGTCCTCAAGAAGCCACAATGAGGAGGAAACAAAAGCAGTGTGCTGCAAGGGTAGCTTTTGGATGGGAGGGAGCAATCAGGAAGCAATTGCCCTATTACAATCCCCTTTGACAATAGTCTGCATAACAATTATTTCCTCTGTTGTTCACCAGCTGATTCTCAGAGGTGTGGTATTTGCCAATATGACCTCAGAATAGTTCATATACAGCCCATGTTTACATCAGCAGATCCTCTTATCTTTGAACCCTGAAAAGGATTGCACAGTTGCATTATGTGTATAACATTTCTCAGGTCAAATGGAGTGGAATACCAACTTCACTGCTGTTGTCATCACGACAACGATGCTTGAAGGCACTGCAAAACAGCTTACTTATCGGTGAGACTCTCTCACCATTAAAGCCCAATAAAATAGAGTATTTAGAAAAATGTTGAAATCTAAAAACAATAAAGTTAAAAAAAACATTGTCAGAAGATAATTTCAGTTTAGCAAGCCAGTTGATCAGGGACTTTAGGTGATATTATTTTAAGTATTAGCACACTGATTAGCGGCAATTCAGTTTGGGACCAGATTCCAGCGGGCTCATTTTTGCATATGTGGAAATGAAATGAGTAGAACAAGTCCAGGTTCACACTAGTGTATGTACATACACTTGGGCTACAAATATTTAACACTATATTGTCAAAGTGCTCATAAATACCACTGTAAACAAGTGTCTGACTTTCAAACAAACATATGCTATTTTTTCTAGGTGTTTCAGACTGTACCACAATCTTTTAAAAGACTATTTTATAACTTAAAAGTATCTCATTCAATTAACGGATGTCTAGGAAGAGCAATATTTAACAGTCAAGAACACCTAGACCAATGTTGGTAAGTACATTCAGCCCACAGCACCAACTGTCATACTTACTAAATGCAAGAGACCAAAAGGCTTGCTAACTGTAAATGTTGGTATTTTACCAAAAGGGAATCTTCTCCAAATAGAGTTCATCATATGCATATTCATAAGATATTAACACTAGCACCCTCTCTGCTGTGCCTCATCAGTTCATTGACAAATAGATGTAAAACATGGCGGAACAATACTGTTGGAAATAAAGACGTTCTGGTAGGTAGCCAGCATGTCAATTGATTTTACATGCTTGGCTTTTCTCTGACATTGTGCATTTCTAGTACAGGTTATGAATTTTCAGAAGCAGACACAGGCAATTTAGACTAAACATACAATTACTGCCTGGGCTGGCTGCTTAAATCGATACTACCATACATTTCAAAAACACTGCAATATATATTCCTTTATTTCCATTTGCCGCAGGAAGTAAACCTCTCCATAAATTTTCCTTCCCCTCTCATTTAAGATAAATATGCCTAAAAAACCTTGATACTGGTACTAGCCTAAGGATACAAAAAAGAGCGATTGAGTAATATTTTCATGACTGAAAGTGGTGAGGTCACTGCTTTTATTCATGGGGTCATATCACTGATTGCAAGCGTTCAGTCAGGTACCAAGCCATTCATGAAAGTGTGTGCAAATCCAAGAAGTTTCATTCATTTAAAACACATTATGCACACAAAAATTTGCATAGAAATGTATTATTCATAAGATACCATCTAATTATTCTCCTATTTTTTAAGATTTAAGTCAGCCACGCAGGGAACAGGAACAATACCAGATGTCTTAGGGAGCAAATCACAGAGATGAAGCTAACAGTTCACAAAATGCTCAGATGCAATTTCTTAATTGAAACTATGTAACAAATACTTGTAAATTACAAATACACAATCAGTTTGCAAGAAAACTATGATAACTCAGGTGAAATTTTGATGGGCATCTCTCTCATGGTATAAGGGGAATGAGATTGGAGAGCAAGGGGTGGATCGCAGATCTCCCAAATCATAAGCTAACCATATCCTTCTTCTCCTGGTTTTTGCTCCCATTGGAACAGGAATGAACAAAACAACCATTGTTTTCCAGTCCAGCTCCCAAATTCCAAAGGCTTGGATATGCAAACCAACTTGGGGAGGTATTCCTGACACGAGTTTCTCCAATCACTCATTATGATCTGCAGCTACCACCAATCAAAGAGGACAACACATGTCTAGCCATACGGTATGTAACTATAGCACAAGATGAACAAAGGACTGATTCTTTAAGATATGTAGAGCAATAATGTTACAAAATACTATGACTAATAATCGCTACCTTTATTGAGATAGGTGACAGAAAGCAGCATGGTCTGATAGATAGCGTGCTGGAACAGGAGTCAAGAAAACTGGATTTTGTTCATGCCTCTGCCATTAAGCTGCGGTGTGACCTCAGGAAAGTTACCTAATCTGTCTATGCGTCTTTTTTCTTCTCATGAACAAAATCCAGTTGGTATTATCTGTCTTTTCGATTGTAACATAAGCACTTCAGGAAAGGAACTGTCTCACTATTTTCTTTTACATAACACGATGGGACCCTGATTTCTGCTGGGGCCATTACTGCTACTACAATATAATCAACAATAATAATCATGATAATAAAGTGACAGAAACTTTAAAACAATAAGAAAGCAATTATCTTATGGTTCATTGCCTGATTTTAATTATACCATTATCCATGAAAAATAAAATGCAATGCAACTTTAAAAATAAAATCTGAATCAAAAAGGGGTGAGCTTTTATTTGAAGCTAAAATAAAAGTGACCATCTCATTCCAGATTATACATGTGAAGCAGACACAGTTCACATTTGCAGGGAGTTTATTTGTATTGTTCATAAGAAGGAAATGGATTTCTAAATTCAGATTTGGGGGGTATATTATTTATAATGCAGCCACGTATGGAAGCCGCCCGCGTAATATTTAACTTTATGTAGGTATCGAAGGGTCACGATGTGAAGGCGAGGTAAATAATATTATAACACGGGTGAAATGAGGCATAAACTGGGTGGGTGGTTTCTGTTGGTCCTCAGTATTAAAGAGAGTCAGTTGACAGAATCTCTAGGGAGGCATTAAGATCTTGATTTTTACAAGTACACGTGAAATGCCATAGTCCGGCTGTCCCTAATCTAGGAACACCTGCTCTGCACACTGCCACTGCCACTTCTTCCCCCAACCATTCCCCCATCTCCATACACACACCGTGCTACAGCTGGGGGAATGGCAGTGCCCAGAGCTGCTTCCCCTGAAGCTTTTTCTGACCGCTCCCATAGTGGTGGGGGACAGCGTATGAGAGCGGTGGGAAGCACAAAGCCAAGTGTGCCTCCAGGAGCGGGGCGGCAGATAAGCACCTCACTCCCACCCCCTCATGCCCACACCCCACAGAGGCCTCCCTGGCCCAGCAAAATCTTTAAGCTGTCATACCCTCTTTCCCAGGATTGCTGGATTGAAGAGGTTCAAGTATATTCACTATAAAGGATAAGTACACAGAAACAGGTGTATTATTTGAATGATTATCAAAATTAACACAGGAAGGAAGCGTTTTTAAAAAATGTTGGTGGACCAGCAAAACGAGAATAGCTTCAGGTCAAACAAAAACTGTTTTGCTTGACCTGAAGAATAAAGGTCTAATTTTGTTTTCAGGTTCTTTACGTTTTTAAAAATAAAACTGCAGTAAAATTCAAAACAAAAAGTTTTCAAACTTTTTTTAAAAAATCAAAACATTTTATTAAAAAATGTAGTAGTCAAATGTTTCAATTTTTTTCTCTTCAATTAAAACAATTCAGCAAAAAACTCAAAACTGATTTTTTTCAGTAAATCTAAACACGTATTTTTCAGAAAAAAAAAGTTTTGGGACAAAATTAGCTCAGCTGTAGTAAGAAGTCTTTTTGGGATTGTGCCTCTGTCTACACTACCCCTTTCCTTGAACTTGACCTTTATTTTAATCATAAAGGCTACGTCTAGACTACATCCCTTTTTCGTAAAAGGGATGTAAATTAGACGTATCGCAATTGCTAATGAAGCGGGGTTTTAAATCTCCCCCGCTTCATTAGCATAAAAATGGCTGCCGCTTTCTTTCTGCATAGAGCTTTGTCAGAAAAAAGCGCCAGTCTAGACACTGATCTTGCGGAAAATAAAGTCTTTTCAGGCATGGAGAAAGGATGAGTGACAACTGGTAAAACACCAGCTAGAAGGGATGCCCTGCTAAGGACAGAACTAATTCCCAGTGTGACCAGCAGAAGGTGCCATGTCGGTGAGTTGAGTCCCAGTACATCACCCCTGAGACATATCTACAGTCCAAAATTGTCCACCTTTCAAAATTCTCTACTCCATTGACTGACTCCAACAAGATTTTTCATGTGGTTTTAACATTAGTTCAGTTCCCAGCCCTGCCACAGGACTCTGGCCTCACATGTGTCTCTTAATCTAGCTCTGCTTTAGTTCCCCACCTGTAAACTGGGGATAATGGTATTTACTGTGCTGACTCACTACCACCATCTTCTGCCTAGGGTTGCCAGGTGTCCGGTATTCTACCGGACAGTCCAGTTTTTGGGCCCTCTGTCCGGTAAAAAATTCAGAAAATAACGGACATGTGCAGTGTTCGGTATTTCCTGGATTTCTGGCTGGGCGCCGGATGGAAGCCTGGCGTGGGAGGGGGAAATGGCTGGGAGGTGGGGAGTGAGTGGCCCTGGGAGCCCTGGCTGCATCTGACACCTTGGGGAGGAAGAGAAGCCCTGTCCCTGCTCCTGAGTGCATGGTGGAGCCGCAGCCGGACTCTTTTGTGCTTCTCCAGACTGTGCGCAGGACTGACAGTGCCCCAGGATCTTCACGTGCCCGGGTCAGTCCCGGCCCCCCCCCTTTCCCCACCTGCTCCATTGTC